ATTAAATTGTTTGCAGTACCTTAATAACAGAACATTGTCTTAAGCTCAGTTAGAGTAAAATTCTGTTGCACTTTTTTCCTGCTGCTATAACTTTCCGGCAGTTTGAAAGATAATATTTCTGTGCCCTCCTTCTGACTGAATTTTCCGCTTTATTAGCGAGATTTGAAGCTGACAAACCTGAAACTTCGCTAGCACTGCCCTTCGCCCTTCCGCAAAATCGCAGCTTCAACAGCATCATTCAACTCAAACGCAACCTCTCCTCACTGCATCACACTTTGGGCCAGTTTATTGTTGACACTCCCCATCAACCATTTGTCAGATTGCACACTTGAAACAGGACCTGAACCTTAACCTTTACTTTGCTAACATAAAGCCCATCCAATAAACAACACTTGCACTTCGTGCCCCATCTTTGAACCTTTAAATGACAACCAATTTCTGTGTTCCCGCTTTTTCCACAACAACTGTAATGGCTGACTGTACCTTGAATTGTCAAAGAATCAAAACACTTCTTGACAACTTCAAGAAATTTTACCTTTTTCAAAAAAGAAATGTTCTTTCTATTTTCTACCTGTTTTATTCTTTTCTGGTAATTCTTTTTTCTATTTTATTTTTGTTTAAGCTTTTCTTCTTCCAAAGCAGTTTTGGTCATAAAATTCTTTACAAAAAGTTACCATATAGCTCAACAAAATGCGGCAGAAAAAGAAAAAAAGTTTTGATGATTATGGTAAAAAAACTAAAAGACCAAGCCTAACTTTAGGATACTTTGATTCAAATAATTGAAAAAAATAGCCTCATTTTTGGTCACGAATACAGTGGCAACAAAAAAACAAAGAAAATAATACTTTATAATTAATAAACAAAAAAAAAAGCAAAAAAACTTTCTTACATTACATCTAATGGTTTGGGGTTTGATCACAGTTGTGTAAAACTGTATTAACAGCCATATCTGAAATACTCTATTTATTTTTCGTGACTACAGTTATATTTGTCAAGAAATGTTGACATTACTAACACTTTAGCATCAATCGAATTCAGCAGAATAATACAGTAATGTGGAGAGCAACTAAATAGAAATTTTTTTTTTTTTCTGCGCATAAAACTGTCGTCTTTGAGCCTTAGTTCTCGAGCTATGCTTCTTTTAGAAAGCCGCTTAATGTTTCTGTTATGTTGTAAACTGCGCTGTACTAAGTAAGACATTTCAGTACTATCAGTTCGTTCAATAAACAGTATTTGTTTATTCAGAATCTTAAAAGATGGCTAGGTGTTATGGCTTTTCCAAGGATTAAATTCTCTAAAGTTGTTCTCAAAATCAATGCAAAACATTTCTATAACCAAAAAAAAGGTAAAAAAAACCCTACAAGATTGATGTGAAAAAAAAGAGAGAGTATCAAGCTGCACGAGGACCTGGTGCTATGATACCATTCTTGGTGAATGAAAATACTATAGAACAAAGCTACTTTAGTGTTCAAATAATAAACTCTTCTTCAAAAAAAACAATAGTTTTTCTTTGTTGTTGATCTATAATTTGGAAGAAAAAACGACAAAGACTTGCTTGCACTTAGAAATAAAAAGGTTAAAATTTAAAAATCAAAACTCAATCCCAATTATCTTGTTAAAAAAAAAATGGAATTCAAGAAGCTTTTCCGTTTATTCGGCACATGTTATCAGACAGACAATATGACGTAAAACAACACTGAGTTAGCATTTAAACACTCGAAATTTCCTTCTGTTTTGTTACATTTCAAAGTTGTAAGTCTATCTTATTTAAGATGTGTAACACTTACTTTTCAGCTAACACCTAACTTGTTTTCTGATCATTTTTTCACTCTCTATTTTGTTGTTTTCCCAATTATATACATCAATACTTGTCCATAAGAAAAAAAATAGTTGTAAATTTTTGCCCAAAAAATATAGTAAAATAATTTTTTTCTTCGTTTTGTATCAAAACACTTGTTTGCACTTAGAAATAAAAGGACATAAAAAGGCAAAAAAACGCATATACTGACGCCGAAATTTACTGCCACTTGAACAGTTTTGTCAAAGTTGTCATGCAGATACATCTGCAGTTTGCAGAAGCCATTATCTTTGGTTTCAGTCAACCATACCGTATTCTTTAAACGTAGACTCTTAACTTAGTCAGCATATCAACTATCTAGCGAGTTTCCATACTTTTGCAGTTCCGAATTCAGACATGAGTTGAATTCCTTGATTCGTATACTTTTCGATCAAAATATACTTCCAAGCATCTATGTAAACTGTTATCTAAAGATGTATTCCAAATAAAAAAAATTCTTGTAGTCCTTTATAGTTTTAGCACAATCATTAAGTCTAAAATAGTACTATGTATTTCACGTAAAACAATCCTCTATTTGAATATTAAATATTGTTTTTGATCAAAAGTAACTGCCAAATAAAAAGAAGCAAAAGTAATAAATTGAAGCAAAGCAAGGAAAAAAAAAACTTGGCTAAGTTTTTTTTCTGATAAAGTAAACAACAAAAGTTTCAAACAAATTTTTTTGACATTCTAAATAAATTTGTTATATTATATTGACAGCAAGAAAAAAACTTTTCAGTTCTTATATAACAAGGAAAAAAAACAAAAAAATAAAATGAAATCAATAAAATTTAAATAGAACAACCATAATTCCTATTGATATATTATCAATAAAACAGAATTAAAAAAAAACATTTTTCTTTTCTTCTTTTTCAACTGATATCCTATTATTCTGTAGACAAAAAGGTTTTTGAAAATACAATAAAGATTGCAACTGATCAACTGATTTAGTGAATAAATCAATGTGATAGGAAAAGAGAACAGTCCAGTAAAAATAACGGACAGCAAGGAAAATACAGGACAGAGGAAACGTTACAAAATGGAAGATTTGGAAAAAAATTGTCGATTACAAAAGTAAAAAAAAAAAAAAAAAGCTGTATCCACTTTTTTCATTAACTTTTATAGCGTTCGTCTTAATCAGATGCAAAATTTAGCAGTCGTTTTCAGCGTTATTTGTAATTACACTATCGTTTGTTGTGTTACATGCAGTTTTTGATGTCTATTTGAGCTGTAAAACTTGGTGGGCACTGATCGGTAGACTTCAGTGATCCAAATATGCAAAATACTTTTAGCTTAGTTGAAGCGCTACACAGAAAGTAATCGAGTAAACGAATTTTTATGTTTACAATCTATTCAAATCTTTTAGCTTATAAAAAAAAAAATTTAACAAATTATATGTATAGATCAGTCACTATTTCTTTTTCTTTTTTTTTTTTTTCTCTTGGCTTTTCAAACAACATTGACACAAAAATAAATTTGCTGCTAAACAACGGTAGATTACTGGCAAAGATTTAGCAAACG